TCTCTCTCTCTCTCTCTCTCTTTCGCTTTTGCTGTTCTGGTCAATTTGGTTTTGTTTGCTCTCTCTTACTTTTGCGTCTACTCCTTAACCTGTTTGTTACTGGCCAATCAAAGATGACATTTGAGTGGCCAATAGAAAGACTGCGCCTCTGCCTGCGTCCACGTGCTTCGCGAACTGGCCGGTTAGGACCTTGAGCTAGGGCCGATGTACCCCGAGTTGCCAGGCCTGGACCAATTCAGCAGCCGGGCTTCGGGTATCAAGAGCAGCAGCAAATGTGAACGGGTACTGGAAGGAACCGCGCTAGGAGGGTGAGAGATGGGATGAGAGGAGAGAGAGAGAGAGAGAGAGAGAGAGATAGAAAGAGAGAAGAAGAGAAGTTTGCGGAGGTGAGAAGACCGCTAGACTGTATGGAGAGTCGAAATGTCTCTTAGACTAACATGTTCTCTCCGCTTTCACCCTCTTGCCTCAATCTTGTGCGCTTTCTCCAGCTTTATTAGCTTATCGGAAGAGGACAGCTGACGTCCCATCTCATAACTAAGAAACAGTGCATGCTTGCAGAGCATACACACACGCACATACACACTCACATACACGACTTAGAGCCTGTAGAAAGCCGTAATCTGGGGCAAACAGGCCGGTGAGTAGAACCACAAACCGGGCGTTTTGCTGTTCCGAGTCCCAGTGACGAGGCGGATTTCACAATACACATTGTCTTGCTTGACCTCAACTCGACTCACATCAACTGAACCCCTCCGTCTTCACTCCGGCTGTTGTGTTGACCTCATCTGCTGACATCACTCAGCCTCAGAGGACTCCTGTACACGCTGCCTCTTTGCAGATTGCAGAATTACATCCTGCTCATACGGTTTTGCATTGATTCTGGTCGACCTGACCCAACCTCACGATTCACACTTTGTTGTAAATACTTTCTCGGCTCTTCAGAAGTCTTGTATGACACCGCTTTGAGGATTCACAACTTTGCTAATTCTCCTGGACTCATGCACACATATGAGTGTGTGTGTGTGTGTGTGTGTGTGTGTGTTTGTGTGTTAGTGTGCTCACGCCTGTATGGGCTATTGCCGTCGTGCATGTAGGCCCAGTCTAAGGGCAGCACATTTCACTGTTGACCGGGTCTGGTGAATGGACGTTAGTGAGGAATACAAGCTGACTATAACACTCTGTGAGAAGGTGTGTGATTCGCCGCTTCTGTGATATTTCA